AATAAATGTTACTACACCCAAAAGTTTGTTTTTTCAGTGGTATTTTAAAAGAAGTGTTATCCCTGCTACAATCAGCTTTTTAAATTCAACTTATTGCAGTRGAACATAATATCAATTAGTCTTTTTTATGTGTTCTGCTTTGTTTTATTGAGTTTATATGGTTTTACCTGATTTGATCTTGTTTTATCTTTTTATTCTGATCTAGTATTTAGAGTTGGGAGTTGAATTTATAGTTTTTACTGAGCACCTGGTCAATTTTTAACCATGTAGTGTCTGCTGTGTGTGCAAGTCRTGTGTCTTGTGTTTTTCTTGGAACGAAGCTGACTCATTTTCACTGTGATCTAATTTACCTGCATGTATGAATAAAGTTGTGATGGACTTGCGACCTCTCCAGGGTGTACCCCGCCCCTCACACTGTGACTGCTGGATATGGGCACCAGTGACCCACGTGACCCTGAAAAGGAAGAAGCGTGTACAGAAAATGGATGGATGGATGGATGGATATGAATAAAGTTAATTGATTGATTTCATCTCTCTTCACCAAGTTCATCTTTTCACCAAACAGATGCAAAACTTTGATAAAAATCCAAAACAAGGGCAGAGCAACAAATCAACCCATCAGGATTTGGTAACACTTTCGTTTACGGTACCCTTATTACTACGTATTTACATAGTAATTACCATTTAATTACATTTTTTAATTACCTTGTAATTACATGGTAATAATGGTATCATAAAAGAAAGTGTTACCCAGGATTTTCTGTTTCCTATCATTTAACTCAAACCTTCTGGAACAGGTAAAACACTGCCTGTTCTTTATTTACTCTTTAGTTTTTGCACATTTGTTGTTACATTATGTCTGCTTGTTTTATCTTTTTGTCCTTAAATACTTTGTGCTAAAAGCTCATTTCAACCTGTTTGAAATGAATGATTAATAAATAAGAGTTTGTGTGTAAAACATGGTGGGGTTGTGTCATGGTTGGGGCCTGAACCCTGAGATTAAACTCTGTGTTAATAAATAATCTGAGTGTTTTACRTCTGGACCAGAACCAGTTTGATTTTAGTTTAAAGTCTGTGACGTCTGCAGCAGCGTMACGTCTCGTTGAAGACACGTCTCTTGTGTTTGTGTCTCTGCAGGACAGTTTGATGGACAGCTCGTGGAGCAAATGGACAACTTTGTGGAGCTTTGAGCCTCTTTCCTTGGATCAGTCTTCTGGAGCGTGTCCGTTATGGAAAGGTCCACGTGAAGCCGGATCGGCGCCGGTGCTGCTTCGCTCCCTGTGAGAAGACTCAAAGGTAGGCGGCTGTGGCACAAAGCTGGACCACCGGACTCCAGCTGGTCTCTGTGTTCTGTCAGAACTCTGCAGTTTGTGGCTCCTCTGTGAAGCGCTGAGTGTTTCTGGGTAAAAGGACGAGCTCTGCTGTGGATTTTAGAGCTGAACGTTTGAAGGTTTTCTGAGAAAACATTGTTTCTGTGATTCAGGGAYGCTGCTTTGGTTTGAGTTTGATGAATAAAAAAGTGAACATATTTTTAGAGTTTCAGGTTCGTTATAGTCCAGACCTGACCAGCTGAGCTGGATCCACTGGACTCTGCTGAACCAGTTCTTGGGTTCTGGTTCTTCTGGCTCCTGTAATAAAATGTTCCTCCACTTGTCTGGAACAGGTTTGATCGATCGCAGCTTCGTCGTGTTTAAAATGTAAATGCTTTGAGTTCAGTGGCTGGAATTAGTCTGAATGGATTTTTTTCTGCTCCAGCAGTGATTTGATCCTTTCTTTCCTGCAGCTGATTGYATTTTATTTCTGTCTGATATACATACAGTTTACCTGTGAAATAATCAGGCTTTACAAGCACAACACACATCAAAACTGTGCTTACATGTTCATGTTTTAAATCAGGTTTAAACCAAGGGGACTACATTCTGTGGAATTAAAACATTTAGGAGGAAATGTTGAAGCATCTGCTGCCAGAATATTCAAGCACTGATAAAACCTGCTGCTGAAGCTGCATTGTTTTGTTTTTTATATTAAAGTTGTTAAAAGTCAGGGCACTTTACTCCCAGTCAACCTTTTTCWATGAATTTCTTTGGGATCAAATGAAAAGTTAATGTCTGAATTAGAAAACTGATTGTCTCCKAATGAAGAAGCTTTTTATCCCAAACTCTGCAGCAATCTCATCCTCATAGAGCTCAGTTTGTTACACAGGAGTGATTCAGTTTGACCCGTTCCATTTTAGATTAAGCTTCTTTTAAAAASCAAACGATGTCGTCCACATGAGGATAGAAAAGTGAAACCCTCGCTGTGTTTTTCTGCTTTACTGTGAAAACCAGACGTCAGGAGAGCAGAGGAGCCGAGCGTCACTCGGAGAGACTTTAGTTTGAGTTTGAATCTTTTATTTAAAGCGTTACAGTTTGACAGTGTGACCTCGTTAAAGACTTTTATACAAACTCTGAGCAGAAATATACATTTAGAGGAGCTTGTAATTAGTGTGTGTGTTGTGTTTTAGACAGACTGAAACTAATGCAGCTCTAATGGCCACATTAGTTTCATGCTGCAGCTGAACTGTTCGAAATAACTCTGATAAGCGAGTAGGTCCATTAGATCTCGTAACAGACACACACACACACACACACACAAACACACACACACACACACACACACACACAGGGCAGGACCTACCTACATGCAGCAGCTCTCCTCCTCCCTTTCTTGCACCACTAAACACACTAATGTGTACCAGCAGTTTGTCTGGCTGTTATTATTTCTCACACACAAACACAGTGGTGTGGTTTCCACTGAAGGGTTTTTCTATCGYAGCTAATTTGCCGCAGAGCTCTGTGCCACGGTCAGAGGAGTCCCCTAATGAGACAGACTGCTGGCAGCGATGGCAGGTGCAGGCAAGAGACGGTCAGCAGCAGTTTGGATGAGACAGAAAGGACTGGAAGAGCAGGAAGTCCTCTTCAAGCCGGAGATTTAACATAATTATTGGTTTGTTTTGACTGCAGTTCAACATTAATTACATGAAACACAGTTTGAGAGGCTGTAGTTTTACAACATTTGTTGTTTAAGTTGAGTGAACATGTCTGTTTCCTGCTGAGAGGCGCAGGAGGAGTTGTACATCTGTTTGTAGATCAGATCTAATTTTACAAATAATAATGAGTGATTCTGCAGACCCATAGGTTCAGGTGGTCTGTGCAGCTTTTTAACTTGTTACCAAAAAGTAACTTTTATTTTATTTTATTTATGTTTTTTGTTAAGAAAGAAATTGAAAAAGCAACTTTAAATGTTAGATTATATGTTGACTCTGGAGCCACTCTGGGGTTGAACACACTTTTGAAACACAACAAAACTGTACAAAGGTTTCTTGTCTWAAGTTATTTAACCAAACAGGAGAGTTTTAAATAAATTTGAGAGTCAAACAGAAGCTCTGTGAGTTTATCAGCTCAACCAGAAGAAAACAAAGGATCAGACTTCAGTTCTGACTCTCCTGCTGTAAAGGGATTTATATTGTTCTTTTTAATTAACTGAACTGAGTTGTGATCTTTCTGTGGAGAACATCGTGATTCACTGATGTCAGAGGAGACCYGCTGTCAGCTCACAGCCTGGAAGAGTTTACATTTCTCTTTACTGAAACGCTGGAGATGTTCAGACTTTAGAGACTTTTCTTTTTTTATTATGTTTACTCCAAAAGGCCAACTTCACATCATCACATTTCTCATAACGTTATTCATTTTCTCMGTTTTTTTGTAAAGATAATAAACATAATAATAATAATAAAAAACTGAACTTTACTTTAAAAGATCAGAAACATTCTTGAATATTTGAAACAATGTTGACCCTGAAACAATTTCACACCAAACTGACCTGAGAGTGTATTTATATTTCTGCACCTGTCTRGTTGAAATATAATATTCATCTCTTCTGTTTAAACCAGGGTGTAAAATGAGCAGATTTTATCACATAATGATAAAAAGTAAAAGCTCAGAGTGTGATAATTATTAAACAATGATCTAAATTTATCCTGAACCATCTTTAAATGTGGTCTCTGCTGCTGATGGCTCAAACTGCAGCTCCTCTCTGGTTCTTGGGAATTACTTTGTCTTCATCCAGTTACAAAGATTTCGTGGCCGACAAGAATTTATGAGACTAAAACAGCTCCAGCTGGAGAGTCCACAGGTATRAATCTGAGGGTGGTCTGAGCAGGAGACCCTCAAAGGATGGTCTGGATGTTGGAGGATCTGTTTAAAGACGTGTGCAGAAACAAACAGTGGTTCTGATGTAGCTTACTGCTATTTAAATAAAGTTATTATTCTCAGGCACTAAATGTGTTGATCAGCCTGCAGTTAGACTGAAATATGATTTAACTAATTTCACACCATGAAAGTTAAAAGACTGGTTATGATGAGACTCACTTTCTCTACAGAAAAAACAGAAAATGTTTGTTTTTGAGAAACTAAAATTCTGTTAAAAACTGATGTAGCTTCAGGCTCATGTGACCGTTTTGAAATTCAGCTCAAACATTGGAGGTTGAAACAAAAAATGTTTTATTATAAGCAGMTTGTGTTACTAGTAGTTGTGTTTTCATRTAATTAKAATARTGTGAATTTTGATCAAACWTTTAAAATGTTGCAAATAAAAGAAATGTGAATTAGAYGTGTTTCCATCCACTGGTTTGGAGTAAATCAGCTCATGGCTGCAACAAACAGGAAGTCTGCTTCCTTCAGCTTCAGGTCTGAACTATAACGTACATCTTTAATGAGCTGTAATCTCTGTAAAAATCATTAGAGGGTAAAACATGTGGTTCCTGTTTACCAGAATAAATACAAACACTCTCAGTATCTTCAGCTTTTCTTCTTCCAAACTCAGTCATGAATGCAGTCGTTTCTGCAGGGAGAAGTTGTTGATAGGGATGCACGACATATCCATACTGACATCGGTATTGGCTGATATTGGCAATTTTTTAGAATATCAGTATCGTTCCAATATGTAAAACTGGGTTGATTTTAACGTCCGATATTGATTTTCCACTTTTTCGCTTTGTGTTTCTGTTTTGGGAGGAGAAATGTTTGGTTGAGCAGCATCTGTTTGATCATGATAGTGATATTGACGCTGCGTAACCAGGAATAACTGAAGTAGAGTCATGTCAGAGGTCTGGTCATTTATTTATGGTATCGAAAAAAACCCAGGGACCCAGTCTCTGGGAGTATGGGGTACCGGGCCACTTGATACGGGCTGTCAGGTCCTTGTACGACCGGTGTCAGAGTCTGGTT